AAATTACAAACGATAAAAATCAACGTAAACACTAAACAATCTCACATTTAGGAATGTGATATTATTATTATTTTAATATTTACTTATTATTTATCATATAGGATGTCCTTCATATGATAATAGATAAAGAAAATTGTTGTTACCCAGTGTTTAAAGTTATTTTGTCAATTTATAATTTTATATAATTATGATTATCGCTTAACTAATAAAGTAATAAGTAATAACTATATATCTGTGATCTATTGTATACAACAATAAAAAAGTTAAACATTATTTCATAATAATATGAATTGAACCTATGATTGTTCAAAATAAGAAAGGTTAGGTTTTGCATAATCAAATCAACAAACATTATTACAAAAATATTGTTGAAATTTAACCGTTTAAATTAAATATTTTTACATATAATTTATTTTTATTTATTTTTAATAATCATTTTTCAAAATTATATTTTAGATAATTTTTAAATCTCATCACGATATAGTATAATTCTTTTAGTATATTACGCATATGAATTAACCTTTGCGAATATTAGTTATACTCTGTAATCTGTGTATGTTACATCAAAATAGAAAATATTTTATACTAATGATAATATTTTAAAATACAGAAATGTAATTGTACATCGAAGGCTGTGAAAGGGTTAATGTTAGTGTGTATGGAACTTATAGACTTAGAAACTATTGAATCAATACTCAATAGGCRCCAAATTATGCACACAAATTACTTAAGAAACGAGAGTGTTCAAAGTTTTGTTATTAAATGACTATAGGTATTATTTTGATTACATAATATAGAGTTGCTATTATATCAGAAATAAAACAGACTTTTATATAATCTATAAATATATATAAATTAATGTATGTTTGTAGTAGCTTACTTACATAAACAAAAAATATTTAACTGATTTTGGCAAAAATATAAAATGGTTTTGGGAGATATCTTGAGAGTTTAAAGAGTACTTTGAACCACTTGAGAAATTATAACAAGTGCTATAATATCAAATGCGCCACAAGTGTATTTCATCTTGTCTTCGTCGAATAAATTCACAAATAGAGCTAATAGATACACCAATGCAAATTTCCCCGTCAATTGAAGTACACTTATATAACTTTGTATTTTATATTTTCTCATTTTTTATGTGTGAACTCGGAATGTAAAGCTATTATTATAAAAATCGGCATTAAACTATTAAGCACACAGATGTATTTTTCATTTTTTTTGTAGAAAATTTATTATTGGAATGTTATATACATATAATATACTACATTTTATCTAATTGATTTTGCAGTAGMTTTTATAATGCTGCTAAGATATAATGGCAAATAAGTATGACTGATGACCAAGCATAGTTTATTATGAGGAAATGTCATATTATTACATGCAGATTATAATTATGATGTGGTTGATGGGGAAAAAAAAACCGCTAAAAAAAATAATCTGCATGAATATTTTAACATTATGGTTGGACATTGAA